TAATGGACCAACGAACCAGGCTATATCACAATGTATAATGGGTAATTAGGTAAGTTCCCTGAAAAACATTCGCTTTGTTGTTTGCTAATACTTCAAAATGAACCATGTGAATGTCTGTGGGTGAGCACGTCTTCGCCATTCAAAATCAAATCGCACTTTTTCATTTTATAACGCCCTCTTATTGCTCTTCTTCCTAGTAGGTGCATTTTAAAAATGTTTTCCCGATGAATCCTGGACTCCTGCTCAAAATGATAAATTAATATAAGGACAGCTAAAAAACAAACAAAAACAAAAAAAAACAACAATAAGCCCGCAAAGCTGTTGTCGTTTCATCCTGACGGATGACAGCCGTGACAGCTAGTGGAATCCCGGAAAATAAACCGTGGAACTTTGACCAATGAGACAACAGTTTACTCGCGCGTGACTTGTATTAACAAATTTGGTCCGTTTAGAAACTTTGCCGTGTGAAAGCGAACCGCACCAAGAATAAAAAGCAACATTGTAATAATTTGAATCCCTGTTTCGTAACAAAGCAATCGATCTACAGGTATGAAAGCACCCTAAGATTATCTCAAGGAGAAAAATATGAGAAGCACAATATGTAGAAAGCGTCTTAATTTAATTCTCACTGAATCCCAATTTCAGTCTAAGTGAAACCACTGAGATATTCAAGATGTCTCTATTGGGATTGTTCTTTTCTATGGAAAGATGTTGATTGTCTCATAATTGGATGTTTCAGCACAATGTTTCTCTTACTCTATGCAAAGAACATTTTCATTTTACAGACTAAGAGGGTCACTGTAGATGGGGTACTCCTTGTAATTGTTTTGAATGATGCCTGTTTTAAAGGTTATTACCAATGCAGAAATATCCATTAATAGTATCCCAAAAGAGACTCCTGCATTTGAGTTACTGTGTGCTACAAACCCCAAGGTTAAATTAATTCTTGTCATTCTCAGGTACCCTGGTCGTCTTTTTGTAAATGCTAATTGAAAATTAAATTAGACAGTGTCCCCGACGGCCGTTTGTCCCCAGGCTGCACTCGAAGCAATTCAAACAATACGTCTCCTTGTATTTTGTTGAACTCTCGTTTGCACTTTTTTTTGTCTCTGTTGTAATTAATGCAGGAAAGGAAACAAAAGGATTGGGATGGAGGACAGGGGGGCATTTGTAAAGTCCCATGAGTAATCCAAAAGGTAGATAAGGCCAGAGTTTGAGGAACAGGGACAAATAGCCCACTCTGGAAAGCCACTATCATCCTTGGGAGCACCTCAGCTCTTGCTAATACAGTCTTGCCGGTTTGCAGATTGCCTGCCATCACACTTATAGAGCAAGATGAGATGGCAAGCAGAGGGGATGCAAGCTGTCACCCACCTCGGCCGATAAATCCCGTCGTTGTCTAAGGGATTTGAGCTGACTTTGCGGAAATGGGACAAAAAGCCTGGGCAATAACCCTTGATATGTGTAATCACAGGGCCGATAAATCTATTTTTAATGGAAGACAGCTGCTAACTCTTTCATTTTTCTCAGCTCTGCTGGCAGAGGGCAGGCTTCTTGTTTTATTTGACACGGCACATGACGCTCGACAGAACAGATGCATGCATCTGGGTGATTGTGAGCAAGATGAGGGCATACTTATTCAATAAAATATGGTGATGTGACCCCATATAATGCCACAAAAATAATTTCCTGCGTGCTCCAAAAGTGCTCAGATGGATCCTGTAGCATATATGTGGTAGAGTAAAAAGGACACCGGTTTGTTTAGTGATGTATAAAACAATGGGGTAATTTTTAGTCACAGGAAATGATGTCAAAATTTCAGGGTATTGCTTCACACCTTCTGACATCAGCTCATCTTCCCTAGTGTATGAGTGAGACCTCAATTTCCCTGCATAGCTAATCCTTCACCAGTCTGTTGCGGTTGGGTAACTGTTGTAGGCTGCGGAGGCCACGTGAGAGTGTGAAATTGTTGGTAGGAGTTGAAGGTGAAATCACGGAAGGACATAGAACTCAGAGGGCCTCTGACCCTAAATTCACATCAATCTCCTATTAAGATGCTAATGAGTAAATGCTTACAGAAATTACATCTGTATATTAATGGCAAATCTAAAAGGCAGTGTTTCTTTACGGTGCAGGTTTTCCCAACGGACTAAACGTGACATCCAAATGTGCAAGTAGGCCGTGTTTTCTAGGTGTTCAGTGCATTGACCTCCGGCCACCCTACACTGGCTACGTCTGTGGACGATGTCCACCAGGGTACCACGGAAATGGACGCACCTGCACAAAACAATCAAAGCATAGCAGTAAGTACTTTTTGAACTTAACATTGCAATCAGTCTTTCAAAGCTTAAATATAATAAAAAAATTATTGAGTTGAATTGAATATGTACATGTGCGCACACACATCCTTTCATCAACACAGAACTAAACAATATAACTTTTTCAAAGTTGTTGCATCATGATGAATATTTAATTTACATTTGTTTTAAAATGAATCTGTCGCTTTTTTTTTCTCATCAATTCTTTCTTAATTCTCCTTGTTTCATCTCCTGAAAGCGCAGAGCTCCAGTAATTAGAAAAAAACATAACGAACAGGAAACAAGCCTGTCATAATCCTCAGAACGTGACAGGTACTTTGATACGGTTGATAAGTGAGATCTGGAAACGTCTAATGCTCAGTCATGCACGGTGGTTGCTGACCCACAATGTGTTTTTGGCTGACGAGTATAGGGAACGGAAAAAGACAGTAAGGAATTAGGGAAAGAATGTGTAAACTCATTTAGATAGGGGATGAGGAGGGGGAAGACAGTGAGGAAGAGTTAACAGAAAACTGGAGTTTTAACAGAGTAGCAGGTTTTTTGTTTTTTTTTGGTCTTTGATTCTCCTTTTACATTTAAAAAAAAAGCAAAATTACCAGACTGCATCTTATCCCTTATCCCCAGAGTACAGTATGTTACATTTCACTCAATGGAAATGTTGTTAGACTTCTTAATCTGTTCTTTTGCTTGAAAAATCCCTCAAATACATTTTCCTAAGTTGCAGTATCGCAGCACGACCGTAAAAGCCTTCAGAGCAGGGTAATGACTTTTAATGCATTTTTCACTGTGAATGGACAACTGCTGGAATCATTCCTAATAGTGCCGTTATCAGGAGTGAATCCATGAGCAGCCACAGTGGGAACTAGAAAAGAAACCGCTTCATTTTGCAAGCTAATTCCCTTATTGTCGCCACATGCATCCCAGATTCTTACACACTCAGAAACGACTGTGCGTCTCTGTTGTTGGGATTGCATTTTGTTGTATTATGTCTTTGTTCCTTGCTTGTGGATGGGGGACAAAATAAATCTTGTCGAGCGGCCACAGCAACTATCTGTTGTTTATGAGTAAATATACCACCATGATGTTTTAAGCTAGTACTGAGCGCCATTGCATCATAACTGCAATTATGGTGGTCTCATTGTGTAAAATCTTCAAAGGTCTGGTCAAGATATCCAGAGGATGTTGATGAATAACTGCAGAATACACTATCAATCCCTTCTTTTTATTTTGGTGTCCTTAATACAGAGATGTCCAATCCTGCTCCTGGAGGGCCACTGTCCTGCAGAGTTCAGCTCCAACCCCAATTAAACACACCTGAACCAGCTAATCAAGGTCTAAATAGGAATGCTAGAAACTTCCAGGCAGGTGTGCTGAGGCAAGTTGGAGCTAAACTCTGCAGGACCCTCCAGGACCGAGTTTGGACACCCCTGACAATGTGTTTTTGGCTGACGAGTATAGGGAACGGAAAAAGACAGTAAGGAATTAGGGAAAGAATGTGTAAACTCATTTAGATAGGGGATGAGGAGGGGGAAGACAGTGAGGAAGAGTTAACAGAAAACTGGAGTTTTAACAGAGTAGCAGGTTTTTTGTTTTTTTTTGGTCTTTGATTCTCCTTTTACATTTAAAAAAAAAGCAAAATTACCAGACTGCATCTTATCCCTTATCCCCAGAGTACAGTATGTTACATTTCACTCAATGGAAATGTTGTTAGACTTCTTAATCTGTTCTTTTGCTTGAAAAATCCCTCAAATACATTTTCCTAAGTTGCAGTATCGCAGCACGACCGTAAAAGCCTTCAGAGCAGGGTAATGACTTTTAATGCATTTTTCACTGTGAATGGACAACTGCTGGAATCATTCCTAATAGTGCCGTTATCAGGAGTGAATCCATGAGCAGCCACAGTGGGAACTAGAAAAGAAACCGCTTCATTTTGCAAGCTAATTCCCTTATTGTCGCCACATGCATCCCAGATTCTTACACACTCAGAAACGACTGTGCGTCTCTGTTGTTGGGATTGCATTTTGTTGTATTATGTCTTTGTTCCTTGCTTGTGGATGGGGGACAAAATAAATCTTGTCGAGCGGCCACAGCAACTATCTGTTGTTTATGAGTAAATATACCACCATGATGTTTTAAGCTAGTACTGAGCGCCATTGCATCATAACTGCAATTATGGTGGTCTCATTGTGTAAAATCTTCAAAGGTCTGGTCAAGATATCCAGAGGATGTTGATGAATAACTGCAGAATACACTATCAATCCCTTCTTTTTATTTTGGTGTCCTTAATACAGAGATGTCCAATCCTGCTCCTGGAGGGCCACTGTCCTGCAGAGTTCAGCTCCAACCCCAATTAAACACACCTGAACCAGCTAATCAAGGTCTAAATAGGAATGCTAGAAACTTCCAGGCAGGTGTGCTGAGGCAAGTTGGAGCTAAACTCTGCAGGACCCTCCAGGACCGAGTTTGGACACCCCTGCCTTAATGTAATGAGCCTTACCATGTCCTGTTGTGGCTGACAAGTAAACTTTTTAAGTTGGATTAAAAGTATTTACTGTTCATAAGCTTGACAAGTTGCTTTTCCTCTCATCTAGCACTGCGTTACTCACCACAACTGAACCAAGCCAAGAACAACATACCTCATGTCTCCCACGGCTTTTCCCATCTGCACCTCCCCATCCTTCCATTCAGGCAGCCTCAGAGACGCCTATCCTCACGAGCGAGGGCCCCACACCATCAGACCACCACTCACATCCCCCTCCCGCCAACCTTTCCACCTGTCACAGGGAAAGCGGGACTGGTGCTTAAGGCAGGACACGCACCTGCCTCAACCAGCAGCAGAGATCGACTCCTTTCTCACTCTCACAATCAACTGAAAATTCTTCCGAGCCCAGAGGAGAGAGATGCTTCATTTAAAGTCTCGGCAGGTGGATTTGCAGGAGTCACGCCTGGAAAAGTCACTTTACCTCACACTTCAAGGCACGTTGAGGCACTGAGGAAGTCTCCACAACAATCCAGTCTGGTCACAATTACCCGACCTCAACCTTGGACACCTCCAGACACCCAGAAACCCCTAACAGCAGCCCTAACTTCCCTTTCCTTCTCCTTTTCGGAGTCTGAGTTCTCCGCTGATGGAGGCCTTGGAGCCAGAATCCAAGACCCCTATGAGACCCAAACACTGCCTCAGGAGAGCTTCACCTTCCTTGGTGAACAAAGCCAAACCCAATTTCTGGACAACCAACCAACTCTTCAGAACGGTAGACACCAAGGCAAGAGCAAAAATGTGGTTCTATTAGAGGAGAGAAGTTTCACCTGTGCAGATGTACCTTGCTTCCCAGGAGTTCACTGTGAGCTTGCAGGGGATGGGCAACCCAGATGTGGACGGTGTCCTTTGGGGTACACTGGAGATGGTCGAATGTGCAGAGGTAATTTTAGATGTATACATGACTTTTCTTTATTATCCATTGATGAGTTAGTCCTCATCAAGTCCAAAATTAGAGACTTACTTATCCATGACATAAATGCCTGGGCAAACATATTGTAACTTTAGGGGTATAACATCTTGTCACTGGGGCAGTACCCTACATCCTTATACCTTATCTGCCATAAAATGTGCATATTTGTACCTTAGAGTAGTAATAGGTACCCTTACTACTATGTGCTACTATGAACCTTTTAGAGGGTAAATAAGGTACAAAGATGTCTCTTTAAAGAAAACTGCCCTAATGACAGTTTCATATGTCGTTTCAGGGATGGTTTACCTGAAATAGTTGATACCATAATATTATTCAGTGATTAGTTGTTCCTCAAAAGTGTCATTGTATCAAACTGGTACATTCCTGATTAAGTATCATATAAGTGAAATGGAGAACCCCGACTCAAAGTGCAAAGCTAGCTAGTCCGATTATAACTACCAATATTCGTATAGTAATTGCCGATTTTATGTGCAATAGGTCAGTGAACAAATTGTGGGCATGCCTTCTGAGTTCTAGACTACAGAGAAGTGTGCAGCATGTGGAGTTTAAGACTGACAACTGACAGTAACTGGTATAAACAATAAGCTCAATCCTCAAGCATGCTCTAGGCATAAGGAATAAATACATTCCTTGAGCTCCATCCCATGGGTTCGTGAACCTGAGAAAATTAGGAGCAGTGGGTGGAAGAATCACTAGAAACATGTTTGCTATTGTAATCCCATGAAATTGTATTACTATGTTGAAATTCACTCAGGACAATGATTATTTATGCATTCATGAATTATTTTCAGGCACTGTTTTCAAGGTATGAATATAGTGTGAACATGCACAAAACCATCACAGGTGTCTTGCGTTGAGCTCTACAAAGCATATGGCAGTGGATCTAGCGTTTCATTAAACAGGAAGTTAATGTGGTGAATGTTACCCAACTATTCAAATCAGTCTGGTATTTTTCAGAATGCTTGGAGGAACTTAGGGTGAATTTTAAAATGCAAGCATGGTAATGATCTACAAATATAACACTAGCGTCACCTGCACTTTAACAACAACTCACTTTAATTTAAAATGAAAGGTACACATTTAAAATTGATACAGTATATACAGAATCTGTATATGTTTTTGCTTCCTGTTCTTCAGGCCGCAGATGGAGGCAAATATGTGTTTGCCTTTTGATGAAGTGAATGTAGCGTCTGGACCAATCAGACACACCATTTTTCATTTGATTTAACAAATCAATTATTCATTAGATTAACATCTGACCATGTGTTATTTGTGTTTGCATGCCATTTGTGCCTTCAGCCGTGTGCAGACATGCCTGCGGTAGAAACATGGAGTGTGCGGCCCCCAACACGTGTCGCTGCAAGAAGGGATACAGTGGTCCAAATTGTGAAACAGGTCACAAACAAACACACACCAATGTTTATAAATGTTGTAAACATGGTCAGGTGCAATCACACACACAAGCACTCATTTTGAAATAACGTAATTGTTGAATGACATCATTTTGGATTCTCACAGCTATCTGCAGTCCAGCCTGCCTGAACGGAGGGAAATGTGTGGCGCCAGATGTATGCGACTGCATGTCAGGTTACCATGGAGAGACCTGTGAAAGCGGTAAGAACACTGAAATTGCATTGCCATTCAGCACTTGTGTAAATAATGTGTAAAAAGTGCATTTTTCCACTTTTTTTACACAGTTTGTAGGCGTTTTTGAGTTAATAACCCTATGAAATGGGGCTTGACAAGTGCTGTTTCTGGTCCTTTCTTTAAAAATGGTCAATATAGCCTTTTGTTTGTCTCAGCCTTGCATTTGTGAACTGTAATTTGCTCTTTTTTTTAAAAAAATGGTCAATAACCTTTTGTTTACATCACAGCCTTTTGTTTATGAACCATGATTTGCTACCTTTATTACAAGTTGGAGTCAGCTGGTATTTATACATTTAATAGGAGACAACATTGTTCTAGAGAGAGTTTCATTTGAAAAAAGTTTGCATACACATTTTATGTTTAGGAAAATGGCTGTCCATTTTATACCCTTGTAGGTTAATTTGTGAACTCATATCAAATAGCATACAAGATGGCCTCAAGTATGGTTTTTGGTAGGGATGCACCGATATCGATATTGGTATCGGTATCGGGCCCGATACTGCGCTCCTGTACTCATACTCGTAAAAATGTCCCGATACCAAAAGCCGATACCAAACAGCATGTGAATAGAGCTGTGTTTTAAATTACAAATGCTGTGAAAATAGTAAAAAAGTATCGGTATCGGACTCGTTCTGAAAAAAGTGGTATCGGTGCATCCCTAGTTTTT